ATTCCTTCTCCACAAACCATGAGTCCGCTGTCTGGCTTCCTCACAATTCCTCTCACCAGAATCCGCCATTTACATCATCAGAAGCAGATGGAACTATGTATACACATGTGGATAGACAGGTAGGTATATAATTAGTTTTGTTTTGTTTTATGCCAAGGCCTTTTGTGTACATAATACAAAAAGCTCAAGTTGCCTGGTGACCTCACAATGAAAATCAACAGTCAGTGTCACCCTGGGCTTCCAGGTCCCTCAGGTAGCCTGGTAGCACTTACTCCTGGTGTTCGCCCTTCCAGTTCCATATAACATGCTGATGTGCGTGGCTTTGGAGCCCAGGTATTATTGACTGATCTCCCCCTGTGAACAACAAGGAGTTGTCTAGTTTCTCAACCCTGTCCCAGGCACGGCTTGCCTTCCCTTCCCTTTCATAGGATTATGGAATTCGTAAGCGTTGGGCTATCTCAGTGCCCTGTTCTGTGACCAAACGCTGACTGCTGGCTGCTGTGCTGGGGACACTGATCGACCTCTTATTTATAACCCATGGTTTTCACTGGAGTCTTTCGCTTTAGGTTTCACTGTATAATAAGTTTAGCACCAAACCTTGACAGGTAAGTCTCTGCCCTCACACACATTGATGATTTCCACAGATGCCTTTAGAGGTCCCCCCCCCCTCCCATGCTGATGGCTACATACACTTCCTTTGCCATCATTGTACATTTCCTTTGCTCTCTTTTGGGGTGGATCTTCTCTTTTTTAAGTCTTTATTTTCCTCTTTTATTTATTTATCTCATGGTTTTAAAAAAAAAAATCACTTTATCCTCATTGACTCACAAATGAAAACAGAGCCCAGCAGGGTTAAAGATGCTTCTCAGACTCCAGCCCCAACCTCTGTGTTTCTCAGTAAACCTCTGTACAGTTTGGACAGCCATTCTGAAGTTGTGGCTTCACTTAGATGTTTTTATTCGCTTATACAACACACACATGAATAAATTGAAACTAAAAAAATTAGCTTTAGATCGTCTGTCATGACTCATGTCCTTTTGCCTGCATCCCATCTGTCTTCATCACCTATTATTACCCCCTTGGTCTCCTTTCTAAATAACTTTATATTATACCCATACTTACATCTATTTGCATATATGTATGTATACAATTTAGGTTAGGATTTGCACACAAGAGAGAACATGCATTTCTTTTCTTTCACCTTGCTTAATATGCTTTCCAGGTCCATCCATTTTCGTGCAGATTGTATTTTTCTTCACAGCTGAGTATTGTATATGTACACCATTTTTTATTATCCATTCAGCTGTTGATGGCATCTAAGTTGATTCCATTTCTTTGTTACAGTAAATAGAACAGCAAAAACGTGGAGTGTAAATATCTCCACAGTAAGATATGGAGTTCTCTGGGTAAATGCCAAGGAGTGGAATAGATATATCTCTTATTTTTTACTTCTCTTTGTAAAAGCACATCCATTAGCAGGCCTTTGAGAAAGGCATATGTGGAACCTAAGTTTTCAGAGAAAAATACCTGAAACTGTCCTGTCCTCCTACTTGATTAGATAGTTGTACTGGGTATAAAAGACAAGACTAAAAGTGCCTGTGTGGATTCTGAAAACATCATTCCACTTCTAATGGTCCCCTTATGAAAATCTGATACCACCCCAAATTCTGGTGTTTGTTTCTGGGAAATTTTTTAACTTTAATTTCCAGTCTTTTGACTTTGCTGCATTTTCTTTCTTTTTCTTTCTTTCTTTCTTTCTTTCTTTCTTTCTTTCTTTCTTTCTTTCTTTCTTTCTTTCTTTCTTTTTCTTTTTCTTTTTCTTTTTCTTTTTCTTTTTTCTTTTTTCTTTTTTCTTTCTTTTTTTTTTTGAGACAGGTTTCACCATGTAGCACTGTTTGACCTGGAACTCTTTATATAGACCAAGCTAGTCTCAAACTCACAGAAATCCACCTGCCCCTGCCTCTTGCATATTGTAGCTTTTAAGATTTTCTTTCCCAGGTCTTATTTGTGAGTGGCAACTGTTTCTTGAATACACACACGTGTGCACATGCACCATTAGCTGTATGCATCTACATTTGAGTTTATAGTGTGTGTGTGTGTGTGTGTGTGTGTGTGGTGTTTGGGTGATCTCCAGCTCACTGTGTGGCTAAGGCTGGCCTTGAACCCCTGCCTCTCCTACCTCATCACCATACTTAGCAGATGTAGATTTTTTCCCCTCCATTAGGGACATAATAGTTCTTTGTTACTATTTTTTTTTTTTTTCTGCCAGGGGAGCTGGGTAAAGGTCGGGTTTGGTCTGTTTCTGTGGTGCTGAGGGTCAAACAAGGGGCTTTTTGTGGTCTGGCAGACCTGTGCAGTATTGAAAAGGTTAATCTTTTTTTTTTTTAAAAGCATGTGCTTACTGTTCATGCTTTTTTTTTTTTAAGGTTTATTTATTTATTATGTATACAGAAGAGGGTGCCAGATTTCATTACAGATGGTTATGAGCCACCATGTGGGTGCTGGGAATTGAACTCAGGACCTCTGGAAGAGCAGTCGGTGCTCTTAACCTCTGAGCCATCTCTCCAGCCCCTAAAAGGTTAATCTTACATCTGCCACCTGGCAGCCTTTGGCTGCTGCCTCTGTGGAAGCCAAGGACAGCAGGAGGTTGTGCACTCACCATTTAACACGCAGGGTTTTATTCACAGCCCATAGTTTTTTCAGCATGAAACTCTGCTCCTGGCTGTCACTGAATCCAAAGATCCCGGGCTGAGCTTTTGGCTCTGGGCTGTGTCAGGGAGTGGCTTGAGTGGGTGGGTATAGCCCCTTTTACGCACTTAGAAGCACTTCAGAGATGCTGTGTCCAGCCCTTCTCCTCTGTGGTCTCCTGAGCTGACCAGGTGGCCAGTTTCCTAAGCCCAGACTTGTGGCACATGAGCTTGCTTCTGAGCCTCATCCTGACCACCTGTGAGCTCCTACTCTCCAAGGCCTACTGCCAGGGTCGAGCTACCATCTACCACCGGCTCAGTCTCAACTCCCATCTCGCTGGCCACATTCTCCTCTCCTTTTCTATTTAGCCATGAGACTGTCCCTTTTAGTTATTTCCCCATAGTTTTATCAGAATAGTGGAGGGAAAGGAACATGGCTGTGACTCTCTTAAGCTCAGAGCCAGAGAGCCAGCCTTCCTCCTCAGGCACTTAATGTTTCTTTACAAAAGGGCATGATTGGTTTTAACAGACAAGGTTTGTTACCTTTTTTCTTCATCTAAGAGATTAGAGATACCAAGTATATAAGACTAAGAGGTATCCATTACTGAATGTCCCTAGGAAGTGCCACCACACTGGGAGGAGACCCTCCTTAATCAGTCTGTGCACAGTTGCTGCTTCCTAGGACATAGGGATGGCCTGGAGTCCTCCGCTAATCACCACCATTGAGGAGCTGTAGGGTGGGCGTCAGGGCCAGGGCTGAAGGTTTGGCTATGACTCTATCATGGGGCTCAGGGCCTTTCGGTGGTCCCCATGGGTTTTGTAGTATGACAACTCTGGCGTGTCTGGGACAGTGCCAGGCCCTGTGACCTGTTTAGAGGCAGAAGTTACTCTTGATGCCATGGAAACAACTGTCCAGAGAAATCGAAGTGTCCTACAGTTCCCATGTCATGAGTTTGGTTCTGTCTATTTTATTAGAAAAAGCGGTAGCACATGTGCGTGAAGCCAGCATGCGGAGGGCGTAGTTGATACTTAATGGCTACATTCTGAATCCCCAAACAGGACACAGCCATTTATCTAGTCCGCCAGTGTTTACCACGCTCCCACTGGGTCAGGTGACGGTGCATACTGGAGGCCCAGCAGGAACGCTGACAGAGGCCTGCTGTTCTGAAGCTGGGTCTAAAGAGGACATGAATAAACAGGACGTTGCTGATAAATACGTGATGAAGATGGGGGGCGGCATGCCCAACCGGGCAAGGGCTGGAGGAGACAGGAGGAGTGGGCTGGGCTGGGCACTGACGGGAAAGCAGCAGCTGGCAGGGAGGAGATGGCTGCCTGGACATCAAGAGAGTTCTCCATTGTTGACAGGTGACTTCTCTCCCCTGGAAGTGGGAGACCAGCTCTGAGCAGAGAGGGAGGTGGACAGTTTCTGCCCAAAGCCCACCTCTGTAAGTGGGAACAGCCCCCCATCAGCCCTCATCAGTGACACTAATGGCCGTGCATCGGCCCCTGCCAGGGCCCTAATGCACTTCCACCTGCGTCAGAGGCTCCAGCCAGCGCCTGAGTCACCCTAGCTCCCAGGAGAGGACACACCGAGCGGCCACGCGTCACCACCACACGCTGCTTCTCAGCTCGGTGGTACCGCTGGGAGATTAAACACATTCGCTTAGAGAAAAGCAAAGAAAGAACTTCTGATAAGCAGTGCCTGGTAGTTAATGGGCCTCCGAGTGCTGTGTACAATTTAAACTTTTTATTAAAAAGAAAAAAATAAAAGCTCCTTTGCTCTCCGGGGACTTGCACTGTGAAATTATCAGCCGCACGGGCTTTGCCCCCCTTTCAACGTGACTGCGCATACAGTGGAGAACATTAATTTTGTTTTGTTTTTCTCACAGCCAGGAGTAGGCTCTTCCCTTCTGCCAAGGAGAGCACTCTTGGGTCTCTGCAAGGGTGGAAGGGTCTAGGGGTTCTGAGGACCGGGTCTTCCTCTCCTCACTTAAAGAGATGGGCTCTTCGCTTTCTTCTGTTGGCTGCCTCCAAAGAGGTCTCGCCCGGCAGCCCAGCTCAGGCCCTCTCTGACTCAGCGTACCTGATCCGGTGGTCACGACTTGCTGAGCAGTTCCAAGTGACCTTTCCTGTTGCAGCAAGGAGCCCCCCCCCCCCTTCACAAAGCCCTGATCTCTGGCTTTAGGGTCCAGCTGCCCCTGTTTGGATCTAGGCTTTACTTACTGGGTGACATCCTGCCAGCTCCGTCTCTGTGCCTCCATGTCTCCGTAGGGAGAATACGGAGGATCAACCCCATCTCTGACTGAGTCCTCCCCACCCAGGGATGCCACAGTGGCCTGTGGCCTTCACCAGTTTCTTGAGAGTCATCTGTGTGCTGAGGCCCTTTCCATCAGGCGCCAGGCACTTTGGACCCCATGGGGAAGATGCAGAGACGGGCCCTGTCCTTTCCCAGGGAGCTTACATTCTTGAGAGGAGCCAGAGGACAAACGTGAATAAATGAAAGCCTTTCAAACCCTGGTCAGCAGGCGACCATGGTGGACAGAAGAAAGGGAGATGATCCCTTGGGGCCGTACCAATGGTGAGCCTTCCTGAGAAGGTGATAGTCAGCCTGAGACTTAAATTTCATTTTTCAAGGAAGGAATTGGCTCTTTCCTGGCCTGAGGGAGGAGGACATGTGGCAAAGGTCCCCAGGCAAGCCTGCTTGGTGTGATCAAAAGCCAGAAAGGCAGGCGCATCCAGGGTGTGGGGAGCTCCAGCTGAACTCTGCAGACAACCATAAGCCAGAGCTGGGTCGCTCTGAGCAGTGGGCACAGTGGAGGGATGAGGGGCAGGGCACTTGGCATCTGCAACGGGCTGGGTTTACCGCTCTGCTTTATTCTCCTCACATGTGTCTTTTCTTCGGAATTATAATCCCGTTGGTTGACTTTAATAACCAATGAGAACATTTTTCAGGCTGTTTAACTTTATTAAAAGATTTAAATTTGATGATGAACATCGGTATGGTTGCTTCAAGCCTCAGATAGAAGGCTTGCTCAGCCATGGCTGTGTTCTCGACACCCACTGTCATCCCTACATGTTAACCTCCCTCCCCACTGCCATGTAGTCCGAGACTGTAAATAATCTAATTATTTCTTGTACTTTGGTAAATATGCCAGGAACACTGGTAGCTGTCTGAGACCCACAGAGAATATTAACTTGGTCCTTTTTTTTTTTTTTGAGAAGAATAGATAATAAGTTAGAGCAATCTCCTCGGACTGATTGAACCCCACACAGTCTCAGGGAGGCCAAGGGCTTTCCTCTGTATGCATCATTAGCTTCATATAGGATTGTTCAAGATCTGTGATAAGAGGCACTGTGGGAGGGGGAGGAAGGGGCTTGGAACAAGTTGCTCACAGTCCTGAAAACCCTTGAGCTCATCAGGATACCAGTTAATCTCTCAGTGTGCAGATGAAGCCCTGGGCCTAGGAGCAGGGTCCCTACCGTGATGACAGCCCCCCTGAGCAGATGAGAACTCGACATATTAGCGTCACAGTGTGGGGACTTGGGGAGGCCAGGCTTGCTGGGTCCTGCCTCCAGATGTTGCTATGTAGCCTGCTGGCCCTGGCCTCCCCATCCTGGTCTGTTGACAGCAGCGGATTCTGGAAGAATATCCGGGGCTAATTACAGAGCACATCGTGCTGTAGCTATCATTAGTATTAATTAGTTTCCAAAGGCAGAAATGCACTTTCCTCCGTGGACTGCGCCCCGCTTGGCTAGCCCTGAGCTTGCGGGCACTCTGCGTGGGTGTGGGAGACTTAGAGGCCACAGCCTGAGGGGAAAGGCCAAGGTCTCAGCTCAGATCGAGCCCTCTTTCCGTGCTCTGTGGCCCTGGAGGACCGGATTTATCCATGTGCTGTGTTGCCAGCTTGAGGTCTGACTTACAGAAGCACAAGCAGATGCCCAAAGATGCCAACAGGCAGAACTCAAGAAAGCCGACTGCCCCCAGAGAGACAAGCCCTCTGCCAGAGAGCTGAGAAGTACTGAAAGCCCCAAGCGGCATCTTTAATTCATGCCCTGGCTGAGTTTGTATTGCTAAATTCAAATTAATGATCTCTACACCACAACCCAGAACCTGGCCAGGCGGCAGGAAGCATCCTTGGGCACCATCATAGGATGTCCTCTCTGTCTCAACACCCCAGGCAAGGAAGAGCGAGTATATCAACACCAACCACAATGATTAAAACCAGCAGGAGCATTTTAGAAACAACACATTTTGCGGCCACATCATCCAGGCCTGTGGTCTGGGACCCCTGGCCTTGCAGTGAGTGCTGTTGAGCCCTGTGGGATACAGGCTGAACCAAAGGCAGCAGGGCCGACGTCCATCCAAGACAGAGCAGTAGAGAAGGGCTGTTTTCTTCCCATGATGGGAAGACAGCACAGAGCCAGGTAGGCATCTGCAGGGCCACACAGTGTCCAAGGGGCCACCTGGAAGTCAAAGACTGATGTCATAGCCATTCAAAGGGGGCCAGTCCTTGAACGAGGAGGAGTATGGGGAGAGGGATGGCAGGAAGATACGGTGCCCACCCAATGGGGGGATTCTGCATTGGAGGCCTGTGCAGTGAGGGACTAGAGACCCCTTGGGCCTGCCTCTTGCAGAGCACCAGGGGTGCCTGGAAGGAGGTGGGGCGTTTCTCAGGAGTGTCTGGACTGGACCCATCTGTGGGCCTCTGCCCAATGAAGAGCAGGCTCTGCCCACGGGGATCTTGTTCCATTTTGAACAGCTCATACTCTATATGTGGGAGCCTGATGCCCAGTGGTAGGCACCCGTTGGTGGCTGTGACGTCCCTCTCAGTGCCTACTGACCAGACCCCTGCGCCTCCACAGCTGCTTGGCTTGGAGAAGTTGAGTATGGCTGTAGTAACCTGGTCCATGGGGGTCACGTGGGCCCGTGTAACCTCAAACGTCAGCTCAGTTCCACCGTGAACCCGTGGGGATGGGGCGCCTCTGGAGTAGTGGCCGGCGGCAGACACGGTGAAGGTGGGCTGGCGGCAAGCGGGATCCGAGAAATGGTGGTAGTGTCCTTCCCAGGAGCGTCTGTGGTCATCGAAGGTGAAGAGCCGGGTGAGGAACAGCACAGCAGGCCTGGCCTCGCAGCCCATGCTGACCCAGTGGCCACCCAGGTGCAGTGGCAGGGATGGCCCGGGGGGCAGCACAGGTGGATGGTGCTCATCAGAGCAGGCAATGAGGCTGCAGGCCAGGCAGGGCCAAGTGTGGTGCTGCCAAAGTTGAAACAGAGTGGTCGGTGAGGCACTAGCAGAGCCAGGCTTGCGACTGGGATGGACTCCCAGGGCAGGACCCCATGATTAACCAGGTGAGCCCACCTTCCTGGTCGCCCGGTTCTCTTTGCCCTGCTACCCTCTAGCAGGGGGGCCTCCTTGATGTCCTTGGACTTAGAAGGAAAGATGCCCCCCCAGCCTCTGCACATGTCCTGAGGAAGTCTAATCAAGGCTTCAACTTATAAAGCAGACTCAAGACCTGTCCTGTCTCTTCCTCATAGACACCCCTCCCTCCCTCCCTCCCTCCCTCCCTCCCTCCCTCCATCCATCCTTCCCTTCTGCATTAGGCTGAGAGTGGCAAAAACTTTCTAGGCAGCAGCCCTGACCTCTCCAGCCCTAGGCTCCCAGCAAACACACACTTGTTGAATGAACTTTAGGTGGGTCTTAGGTCCCCAGATTTAGAAGAAGTCCTGCCTAGTTTGCCTTCCGGCTTACCACCATCATCCCTTTACTTCTGCAGCTTTCTCATGGGCTGGAGTCTATGTTGAACCCCTCCTGCAACTCAAGGACAGTGAAACTCAAAGGCCAGGTGGCTGCCACAGTTGTCCATGGTTGAACACAGCCCTGCAGAAATTGTCCCAAAGCCTCACTGCAAGGAGGAGGACCAAGGCTGCCGTGGTTATTTTTGTTTTGTATATGTGGTGTGTGTGTGTGTGTGTGTGTGTGTGTGTGTGTGTGTGTGTGTGTGTGTGGTGGTGGTGGTTGCGGGGGTTGTAGAGGGCTGTGGAGGTGTGCTCCTGTGTATGCAGGCACATGTGGAGGCTGGCGGTTAACAAAAGGAGTCTTCCTCTTGCTGCTCTCCACTGTATTCTGTGAGGCAGAGTCTCTCAGTTGAACCCAAGCTTGTCAACAGGATTTATCTTCCTAGCCAGATAGCCCTGGGCTTCTCTTGACTTTGCTTTCTGAATGCTGAAACTACAGTAAGCTGCCACACCCGCTTAGCATTTTAGCTACATCTGGGGATCCAGATTCCAATCCTTGGCCTGGCTCTGCAATTGCATGAATCAGTGAGCTTCTCCTGAGCCCTGTACCACCCAGGCCTCTTATGAGATAAATTTCTTTTATGTAGCCCAAGCGAACCTTGAACTTGCTTTTTAACTTGGACAGAACTTGTGCTCCTGATTCTCCTTCTTCTACGTCCCTGAAGTGCTGGGATTATGAGCATGTACCAGCCTGCCCAGCCTCCAGCATTATTGTAACGGACAAAACCAGCTGCACTGGAGTCCTGGGGCTTGCAGGACCCCTCTGCTGCCCCAGGGTGTGCACTGGCTTCCGCCTGCTTTGGATTGTTTGAAGTCATCCCAGACTCTGCTTTGCTAAGGAGACTAAAACCCAACAACAGCAAACAGACATGAAATCTAATTGGTCTACATTTCGGAGTGAAAACATTTAGTGGAAGCCAGAAAAGAACCAGGCACAGACTCCCATTTCCCCTCCCCCCTTCTTTCTTCCCTTCCCTCTTCTCCTCCTTTCCTTAAAGGGAGTTGCTGCCTGAAGCCAACACAGAGTCCTCTTTGCAAATGTGAAGGCCTTGGAATACCACTTCTCAGTGCTGACCTGAGAGCCGGCAATCAGCCCTGTTCCCGCTGTTCCTGAGGGAAACTTGAGGACTGAGGCCCAAGCAGAAAAGGCAAGGGGGAGGGAATTTTTTTTCTTTTGTTTGGATTGTCACACTTTCAAAGCTCTTACTATTAATATTTATTCCTGTGAGGAAGCCGAACTTCTATTTCTATAACACATGACCCTATATCATGTTTTATTTCTGGATATTATTCTTATTATCATTATTATTTTGAGAGAGAGAGTCATGCTATATAGCCGAGGCTCGGTTCAAACTCCAGGCCATCCTTTTTGCCTCAGCTTCCAAAGGGCTCAGATGACAGGCAAGCACTATCATGCCTAGCTGTTTGGGGGATTCTGACCTGGAGGACGCGAAGGCACTTTGAAACACTGGTAAATGGCGGCAGACTTGTTTGTGATGGAGGAAGCAATGGCAGTTAGCTGGAGTGTCAGAAATTGGGAGGCCGGCTGATAAGAGTTCCCTCTAATTGAGGCCTTTTAACCCACATTCTGAACTATGCTCACACTAATGTGTATTGACAGGACCAAATGCACAGCATTGAAATAGTCCCAGAGTGGCTCTTTCCTGCCACACACACAGACACACTCACGGCCTCACACGTGCATGATCCCCGTGCAGAGGGACGTTGCAGGAGCTGGCTGGTCATTTGGGGCAAGTGGTTTGGGGCATAGCAGAGCTCTGAAGGTGGTTGAGGGGACAGAAAAGGCATTTCCCACTCAGGAACAGTTAAAGGAGGTGACACAAAGCTCTTGTCCCCATCAGACACCTCCAGGGTGTCCTCAACAGGAGACAAAGCCCCCAGCCTCACACTTGCCAACTTCATGCTGATGTGAGCCTACTTCACCAGCCATTTCTCCTATGGAGGTGATGCCTGCCCAGATGACTGTGGTAGAGAATGGACTGATTGATTAATATTCTATATCCAGACAATAAATTTGGGGATCAAATTGGTTTTAAATTAACTTCTAAAACTGTTGGTGTTTACCATCTGGTTTTGGTCTGAGGTGAGGCTCAGGCCCCCCCGAGAGCAGAGTGTAAGGAGAGTGAGGCGCTGTTTGGGGATCTGAGTGCAGCATTTCCTTCTCTCAAACGATCTCCCCCCCCTCCCCAAGAGGGGAGTTGCTGAACAGACCTTTAATTTAATGTCTGCATCTGGTGCTGGTCTGCAACGACACGTTCCTATGTGTCTTGTTTCTCAATCACTTTTCCAGCCTGTGTAGGCCGCCAGGGCTGGTGGGGTGGCAGGAAGGGAAGGAATAGTGGCCCCTGGATTCAGCCCAGGAAATAGGATGCTGTCAGCCCTCATGTTGTCCCTTGCAACAAGGAGGTGGGGGCTGTAATCAACTCACCTTGTATGCCTTCCTCAGGATTAAGTCCTGAGCATCATAGACAGTTGTCAAAAGGGATTGATTTTGAGGTCATTTGAAAAGAACCCTGAGGAGCCAGGCCTGGGCAGTGGTGGCACATACCTTTAATCCCTGTACTCGGGAGGCAGAAGCAGGCAGATCTCTGTGAGTTTGATGCCAGCCTGGTCAATAGAGCGAGTTCCAGGACAGCCAGAGCTACACAGAGAGACCCTGTCTCAAAAAGCAAAACCAAAAAAAAAAAGACCCTTCTTAGGAGAACCTTGACATGTTCCTTCTCTGCCTCCTAGATCCTGGGTTTTGGGGGCAGTTGGAAAGCGTAAGGTGGGCAGATGGGCATGGTCTAGCTTTCACCCCTGGGTGATTCTGGCAAGCAGTTGCTACCAGAGATCAGAAACTGCCCTGTTTGGCTTGGCTTGAGTGTACAGCACACAGTAGGCACTCAATATAAGCTGCATGATGGGAGAGTGGCCCAAGGTTCAAATATCACTTGGTAAAGATGGTGGAACTTATTCCTCCCTCTCTTGATTTTTTTTTTCTCTTTATTGTTTTGTTGGTTTGGTTACACATGGGAGCTACTGGGCTCAGCTTGACTATGAGGAAATAAATAAGGGGACCACTGGCCAGCAGTTCCTAACTCAGAGTCTTAGCCTCTTTCATCTCCATTTACAGTGAGCAGCAAGTCCCAGCATCACCGTGTGTCCCTGTGTGTCACCCGAGTCCTGCTGTCAGTGTCCCAGACACTGGGAACATTGTTTGCACTTATCACTGTTTAGACCTGAGGATGAAGAAGAGTCCCTGTTCTCAGCCATCCCGTCACAGCTTTGCATCTTCAGGCTATTTTAGTGGGCTTGGCTTCCACTTACAGCCAACGCCTTTTATGTCTTCAATTTTTTTTCTCAACCTTTTTTTCTGAGGAGGTGTTCTCAGGCATTACCAGCTACCAGACAGGGTCTCAGCACCAAAAAGTCCACTGGCCCCACCTTTTATAGTGTAGGACAGTATGCTGGCTTCCTTTACACTTGAGTTCCATGATGGTCACTTTGGAGTCTCATGGAGGGGCAGTTCGCTGTAGCTAGAGCCTCCTCACTCATTGACCACCAGGGCACATGTTAGAAGTGAGGACCACAGGCCTCACCCTGCACCCACATGTTCACAGAGGCCCAGGCCTTAACTCAGAGTCCTTTGTTTTCACTAAGCAACCCCAAAACAGTGAGAGTGAGTACCCATGTCCAATGCCTCCTGTGTTCATTATACCAACTCCTTCATGTTTGTGGAGTTTGATGGAGCACACTCTAACACCAGCACGTGTGCACACATGCATCAGTGGTTTGTTCCCTGGTCACCAGGGAGCCCCCTGGGCTCCTGAAGGATGTCATTAAGAGGGTACTCTCAGTCCCAGCAGAGTGTTCCCAGTGCATGTGTCAGCATTATGCTGCCTTTAGCCAGATGCCAGACCCCATGTTGGCTGATGCCACAGACCTCTCCTGATGGAGTGCTCGGAGCCTAAGGGGGAGGTAACAGGCGGGCTCCCTGACAGCAGCATATGCTGGGTGTTGGGCGATGTGTAGAGTAGGGGTGGCTAGAAGGACCAGGTAAACTGAGAACCGAGGAGGGGAAGCCAGCTGGAGCCATTGTGCCACGCGGGGACAGGTGTGAGGTTCTGCAAAAATCATGAAGACCAAACCTGAAAGATGCATGCGGAGAATGACTGGGCCAGGGAGGGTGAATCATGCCGTGCTCTACAAAATGCCGTCTAGCCTTGCAAAAGCTGAGAAAAGATGGCTCTTTTCTCAAAATTCAAAAGCAGAAGCAATAGAATGTGCTAATGTCCCGAGGTTAGCTGATCAGAGGTGAGGGCAGTGAGAAGAACGGTGCAGAGACCCTTCGGAGGACCAGACTCTAAAGGACCTGCTGGACCGGACACCAGAACACACCCAGAGGGGCCCATTCTCACCAGAACACTTTGCAGGGGGCGCTGGTAGCCAGTGGGACGGTAGTGCTGCCTCTCTGTCCAGTCGGTGTGGACATCCCCAAGGAACAGCTCCTTGACTAGATGGGGTGCTGCCCCAGGCTGTTGTTGCATGTGATGCTGCAGGCGCAGCAGACTGAGTTCATTCATGCTGAAGCCCAGTGCGGCCAGGCAGTCACCTGGTACCTGGGAACTCAGCAGCTCATACAGTGTCCCTGGCAGCCAGGCCCGGTCTAGGGGCAGCCGTCCTGTACAGTCCTGGCCAGTCTGGGTCTGGTTGAGGCGCCTGGCAATGTCAAGCAGGGCATGGTGGCTGTGGAAGACTATGCCCACCTTGTGAAGATGGTAGTCAGCCTCGGTGGCACCCTGGGTGATCCAGGAGGCCCGGCGCAGACGGACTTTGCCCTTGATGAGCAGTGAGTGGGCAGGCTCCTGGCAGGAGGGGTCCCTGTAGTAGAACTGGTAGGCTCGGAAGAGACGGTTGGAATAGAAGGTGTAGGAGCGGGTGAGGAATTCTGGTCCCGGACGTACCTCACAGCTGCTGGGAGGAGATGGGTTTTGAACAGAGAAATGAAAACCTACCTGGGTGTCCCCTTCCCTCTGAACTGGGCTCCCATGTCTCCAGCCTCCTTCACTCAGGCCTGTTTCCCCAGCTGGAGGCCTTCTCCATCTTGTGATCTTCATAAAAGCTCTCCAGTTCTCTTTCTGGTCAACCTCATGGTCCTAACTGGACTGTTGCCACCATCTACCACTCAGTGTACTCTGAGCTTTCTAGGAACCCTGGCCTGTCCCTCATTGAGTTCCAGGGATGACTTGTTCTGTCCTGGACTTTCACTGGATGGCATTGGGTAGAAGGAGCACAGGGGGACCTCTCTCAAGGGCCTCCCCTTCAGTGAGCTGCTTCCTTTCCCTGGTTTACTCACACACTGGTGAAATGTTTCCAGAAGGGCTTGGACAATACATACTTTGTGGGTTGAAGGCAGATCAGGGTTCTGTCGCAGCCACTCAGCATTGCCATCAGGGAAAACGACTGCACCCTAGCAAGACTGGGGAGCTAGCCCAGTGGGTAAAGTGTTTGCCACACAAGTGTGATGCCCTCCGAGTTTGATCTCCAGTATCCAAACACTAAAACGTAGTTGAGGTATGTGCCTGTAACCCTAGCTCTGGGGAGGTAGAGACAGGAGGATCTCTAAGGATTGATGGAGATTCCCAGGTCCCAGTGAGAGACTCTACCTTAAAAAAATACGGTGGAGAACAATTGAGGAATTGTGGAAGACACCTACATCTACCTCTGTACACACACACACACACACACACACACACACACACACACACACACCAC